CCAAATCCCCAAGATGATGTAATCAAATTGCTTGTTTTATTCATCCAAAACCCAAAATATTCCATTTACAATATGACAGGAAAAAAAAGCACCACATCATCACACCTGAGAAGCTATAACTCTAGCTCTATATTGGAGAGAAATACGGAGGAAATAAAGCCCCTGGATTTAATTATCCACCTTAAATATTCATTCACTAGATGTGCAACACTCAGTTTGAAATTAAATACTTGTTTACTGTTTGTTAAGAGTTTAACTGTCCAAATGTTCCTAAACTCTGATTGATGCACAGATAGATGCGATCCTTTCACCCTTTCCCACCTGAGCCCTGACACAAAACACAAACACAGAAATCTCTTATGAGAAATAACCAAAACTAATGTAGAATTCATGTTGCTACTCATAGTAAATAACCAACAGATAAATTAGGTTTCTGGGGCCTTTCGGTTTCCTGGTAAGGATGCGTTATACTAGAAAAATAACTAGTTAGCAAAACGTGTTTTTACTCGGAAATCAAAAGTGTTTACAGTCGTTCCAAACGGCCACACTGGAAGGCGGAGCAGGAAGCTGGCCGTGATGTTGTTTAAATAAGGGAACACGATTTCAGTCTCTCCTGGAAGACATTAATAGTGTTGCACTCACATGAAAAAGGGACAGAAGTTCTTGTGTAATGAGTTCAAACCTCGAAGGTTTCTGAAGCTATTCGACCGTCCCACAAGCAGCTCTGATGATATGTGTTGTGATATGAGTTGTCCACAGGGGCCGCCAGAATCAACACAAAAAGAAAGTTCATGTTGCTGCTTTAAGTTATGCTAATTATCCAGCAAACGCAACAACAGAACATTGGAACAAGCATTAGTAAATTATATTATTAATTACTTCTGTGCTTTACCTGCTATTAAAATGTCAAAATGGATGTTTGCTCCTTTAATTGCTCTTCATTTGTGCCCCTGCGACATTAATCCAGCCTCAGACAGATCAGGAAACTGTCATCTTTGTTTTTTTATGTGTTCCTGCTTTCCTCCAGTCATTTAACAAGTCATATAGGTCTCAATTATTTTTCCATTCACGGTGTTTTTAATGTACAGTAAGCATGTGACTAATAAAACAGAAAACAGCACCAGAAGAACTGTGTACCTCGGCCAGTCTAGTTCCAACTAGTCTGAGCGGTGCTGTGTATCTGTGCATGTGTGCATAATGCATTACGTGTGTGCATTCAACTTACCTTTAGGATAAAAACCTAAGATTGCCTCTACTCATTTTCATAGAAACAATTTAGCCTAGCCTTGGTTAATAATTAACAGTTTGCAGCACTATGAAGCCACACAATATTAGCGCTCACATTGATTACAAATACTTGTCAAAATAAATATCAAAAGATACATGTTCTGTTTGTCTACTGTAAGCACAAATGATTACATAAAAATTACAGGCATTTCTTTTTATCGAAAACCTCAAAAAGGGAAAGAATAAGAGAAGAATAAAATGGAAGAACAAAAGTTTGGAGAAACAGATCGGATAGAGCCTCGTAGGGAAAATAAAGTGAAGAAACGATTCAATTCCTGTTCAGCACTACCTCGCTCGGTCATTTCTGTCCGTCGCAGCCAGGAGAACGAGAAGTGAGAGAACAGCTTCGAAGGTCTGTCAGTTCGTCCTTCAGTTAGAGTCTGTTCCATGTTTATTATTCCAGCTGGCCTTAGCTTGCCCAGGGCAGGGGAATCGACTTTCAGGCCATTGTTCTGCCTTTTGATGTTGGAGACAACCTGTTTCCCTGCAGGAGAGAAAACCCCCACAGGGGTCCGAGAAACAGCGCAGAGTCGTCCGTGCCTCTCGGGCCCCCCCACAGCTGGGGGCGGGTTAGAGGGCGGGGAGAGCCACAGTTCCTGGCCTAGCAGTTGATGGAGGCACAGTCTGCTTTGGCTTTCCCCGCGGAGCTGATTATCCTCATGAGGCAGTGTCCGAACTCCTCCAGGATCAATCTCTCCGTTTCGGCCTGAGGCTGATGAGTCTGTTCTGCCTTTTTGGCCTGTTCCAGCAGACACTCGCACGTCGCTTCAAGCACCTCCTTTGTTACGAACGTATACGGCAGCCTGTGGGGAGATGGAACCAACACCTCAGTGAGAAAATACATCGTCCTTCATGTCATCAGCTGTCATTATATGTTAGCAGAGGTGGGGAGTTACAGTTACACACGGACTTGATCATTTTTCTTCATACATTAATATTCAAATACTACAATTAGGGAGAAACATACATAAAGTTGCAAGTTTTCACTGAGTTTATGTTACCTACTAGTCAAAGAAACTTCTCATTTTAAATAATAAAAGGGAATGGGAGAAACAAAAAACTTCAGATGCAATAATAATATTGCAAAGAATGTTTTTGTTAGAGTCCACCATTCTCACACTGGATGCAAATTGCCTTTACATGAATAAAATATTTCAAACTAAAAAGATATGCGTTTTTATTTGTTGCTTTTGTAGTCATGGATATTTAATGTTTGAGAATGTTTTTCCAGGTGCCTTAAGTATCCCCATTTAATATTACCAACATTACTAAATAAGCAAAGAAAGTTAACATCAGTGTGTTTCATACAGTGGGTAACCGCAGATGTCAAAGAACTAATTTTAAATGATAAAAGAGGGATGAGGGATCATAAACAACTTCAACTGCTGTAATATTGCAAATTATTAATTTATTTCGTAGTCCACCATTCCCACGATGAATTAAAAGTGGGGTGTGAGAAGTCATATGGTTAAATAAAGAAGATCTCAATGAACTTCCATTAGGCCAAGATAAGGCTGCTAGACTTGTTCTTCATTGTTCATACCAAGACTTAACCTCCTGACATACAGTCATGAACAGGTATAAATTGAACAAGTGACCAAAAAGAATCAGGGAATGAAAAAGTACTTAAACAAATGCAGATTTATCTAAAGCAGACTATGACTGAATAACAGGGATTGTTGTATTAAGATTAGCTTCTTCTTCTTTCACTTCTTCTTTCACTCCTGGACTTTGCTTTCATGACTGTCAGTCAGTGCTTGTGACTCCATGCTTTAAATAATAAAAGGTTAGGAGGAAAGAAATGACCATAAACAACTTCTGCTGTTACAGTAATAATGCAAATGATTATTCCTCAAGAGTGCTCCTGTAATTATTGTTGTAGTAGAGTTAAGTGTTAGCGTACCTCCCGCCTCCACTTGAAATAACAGGTGTCGTCCGCATGAGCAGGTCTGAGATCTGTGAGGACAGCTTGGTCTTCGCTGCAGTCTGCTGCTGTACTCTCACTTCTGCTGCATCCGCCAGGTGCATCAGGGTCTTCCTCTCTGGGCTCTCCTCAAAGTTTTTGCAGCCAACACACTTACAAATGGACGAGCACATGATCTTCGCCTGTGAGGTGAAACGAAGGACATATACAAATGTAAATTAACAGTCCGTTTAGCCAGCATAAAGTGAAGGAAGTGACGAAGCTCCTGCAGTGAGGAAACCCACCTCGTAGCACTCGCAGTAGTTCTTCAGGCAGCCCGATCGTTTGCAGTTGCAGCCTTTGCTGTGTCTGCGGTCCGACTCTCCTTCTTTGCCTTTGCCAATTTTAGGTTTGAAGGCCTCTGGGTTCCGGTCGAGACACGTCTGTAAAAAAAACACATTTTCACCTTCATTTCATCCGTCTGGCAGGAAGCAACTCAGTCCAGTGACATAACTCACAAACCTCCACCTTACCTTTATAGCTTTGAGACGTTCTGTTTCATGTTCCAGGTTATTGAAGCAGTTATTGCAGTTACAGTTATTGCAGAACTCTCCGTTTGCAAAGCAGTCACAGTATCTAGGGAAGAAAGACAGAGCTCTATTTAATAAAACTGCCCCGTTAGTTAGCAGAAGTTACACATAAGATATATTGATCAGGACAGGGTTTATCTACACACTTCTGTCAAATAAATACAACACATGAAAAGTCAACAACCTACTTAACAAGTCCTACTTACAGTTTGAGACACTGCGACTTGGTGCAGTTGCATGGTTTTCTTGGTCTTGACGTTGCTTCTGCTGTTGACAAGCTGTGAGCCGATGAATAACATTACTTAAATTAAATGAAAGCATTTCAACAATCAATTCAATATCAATTAGTAGACAACAGTTGTAGTAGTTCTGTAAACTTTTACATAAGTTTTACTTTTCAGTGTGAGCTTACACATTTACATGTATCTTAGTGTCTAGGCCTCTATAATGTCCCACGTGTGGTATTTCTAAAGAATGCATATTTTTTTAAAACAAATCATTCATTGCTTTCATCGGCAATTTGTTTAATGCAACCTCAACAGTAATCTGAACGGAGATAACCAAAGAATAAAAATACTGTCACAGATTAAGAAGGCCACATTGTAGTCATCTTCATTTTGCTGCAATACTTCTTTTGTCTAGTAAATGCAGTTTTAAACATAAGACAAATGATTTAGTTGGTGACATTAACACATAAAATAAGACCCTTCTTTATGTCCCTCTTTACCCATTGTGTGGCAATCTGGCCTGAGTCTGGATACCAGTGGACGTGGGGAAATTAGAGCTGCTGGCGAGGGTCACAAACGGTGACTGCTGGAGCTACAGGAGAGGCAGATAACACAAAATGAATGAAACACATAAATATCAAAGAGCAGTGAATTCAAAAGAACAAAACAAACGCCGCCGACCTGTGTGACATATTGTGCTGGCACGACTGCATAGCCCACGTTCCCGCCTCCTGGAGCTGGTGCCAGAACGGTGCCTGGAGGGAGGTTGGTGAAGTTGGGCTGGATCTGGGGTAGAGGGGTTGCAGGCATTATCAGGCGTTGCTGGGTCTGAGTGGTGGTTACTACTGCTGACGTCAAGGGCTTAGGCGCCACCTACAGGGAACACAATCCATGAATGCGGCTCCAGAGGCATTTCACAGAAAGCTCTGAATAAAAAACAGCATTTACAGAAGTTACCTGCTTGATGGTCTGTGCTTGGACGATCGGGACAGACATCCTGACTGCTCCTGTACTCACCACCATCGGTTTAGCTGGGAGACATTAAGCATCATGAGTTGCCACAGAAGAGCTTCCGCGTGTGCTTTTGCAGGTTAACATTTGTTACCAGATAAACGCCTATCACAACGTCTGTTTGTAAGTCACCTGTCTGTATAGAGCTCGTGCTGGGACCGCTGGGCTGCCCCGTGCTGCTAGCTGTGGTTGCTGTGACGAGGCGGACGTAGTGGAACCGGCTTCCTGGCACCTGAATCTGCTGCACGTTCGGCTGCGTGGCCAGTGGGATGATGGTCTTGAACTGGGAGCCGCCGACTCCTCCCACGGCCACAGACTGCACTGGTTTAATATTCTGAAAATGTTCGAGCAGGAGACGGAGCTTTAAGTCCAAATGACAAAAGGAAAAATTTACTTTGCATGAAAATCGACAATAGTAGGAGTCAAAACTTAAATCTTGGAAGTTCAAAGAATGCTGGGACAGATTTACACCTCATATCAAGCCTAAGTGATCTCATAATATTAAGCCAAAAGCTTTTTGTTGCCGGCCATAAGCCGCTCCAATCGGTCCTGGCTTAGCGAGTTCTCTCTCCTACCAAACATGAGTGTAAAGTCCATAAATTGTTCCAGACTGTCTTTCAGTAAGAAGGGCAAGAGCAGCTACAGTCATTCTGTAATGAAAACCTTGATACAGAACAGAGTCTGGCCTTAAGAGTTAGAATAGAGAAGTTAGATTGTACATATTGTAATTTTTACTCTTATAATATATAATATAATATATATTTTTATCTTATCTTATAGACAAAAAGATACATCACATAAAAGGGCAGTTTAAGTTTGGATGTGTTGCCATCAAAAACAATAAAACACAGCCAAGAGTAATGCACTCAGAGCAGCAGACAGACTGTGACAAGTGACAGCTTGTTTTTTCATTATGCTTCTTCACTGCCACTTTTATTGTTTATAGACAAAAACAAACAATATGAAGACAATCTTCATTAAAAAGCATTTCAACGTGCTGTATTTTCTACATTAGAGGTGATCGTGGCATCCCAGAATACTTCATTGTTGATACAGAACAAATGACTTGAAATCAAGCCGGGAGCAGGCGCGCCCACGCTCCAGCCGACAATAACAGTGACCCGCTCCGCAGTGGGATCTCACCTGTGTCGTGGCTTGGCTGGCGGCCACCTTGACCGGAGATGCAGACGTGGACTGCTGGACTGTGAGGATCTGCTGGCCAAGAGCTACATTGACGGGCAGCGCCACTGACTTCTGAGAGGCGCTGGAGGTCGGGGAGGCCACAGACACCACAGTCACCTGGCAGAGACAAACAAGGAGAGTGCAACTACTGACCTCATCACACGCTTAATAGATATTAACACTCTCACATAATAGTAATGTTTGGCCCACATGTCGACAACCTGCTTAAATGTGGATGTTGAATGCATCACAATCAAATTAATGCTGCAGAAGTGTAGTTTAAAGCTCTGACTTAAGTCCAACAAACCTTCCCTCAGGTGGATATTTTGATTTGTCACACACACACACACACACACACACACACACAGAGAGACACAGCCAAAATCTAT